CTCCAGCTAAACCTGCCCTGGGGCAGCTTGAGGCCGGTTCCTCTTGTGCCATCCCTTGTTCCTTGGGAGCAGAAACCAGCCCCCTCCTGGCTCCATCCTCCTGTCAGGCAGTTGCAGAGAGCGATCAGGTCCCCCCTGAGCCTTCTCTTCTCCCCCTCAGCCCTTCCCCATCACACTTGTTCTCTCTTCTTGCTTGCAGTCCCCTTGCTCTTCTCCCCTCTGGTTGTGATAAATAGGGCTAATGAAGAAGAGGAGCAAATTGATGTCTTGGCAGCAATTAGGACATTTCAGAGTTCTGTTTGCTGCAGTTTCTCCTCATGTGGTTGTAAACAGGTCAGTGGCAGTTGCAGCTCCTGTTGTGGTGCCCTAACCTCTGGTTATCGCTTTGCTCCCCTCTCTCACAGAGCCTCTCGGAGAAGTCCTCCAAGGTATTCCGCATTTTCCGGCAGTGGGAGAGCATGAATTCCTCCTGAACAGGCCTCTGCCTTTGGGAACTGGCATGGAGCATCACAGCGGGCAGCAGAGACCTGCTTCAACTGCTCCCAAGGCAGCTCCATGCCCTGGGGAGGGGGATGCTGAGGAGGCTCCACAGCAGATGCAGACCCCAGCAGCTCATGGGCCCCCTCGCCCCTTGGAAGCCTCCTGCCTTCACAGACTGCTGCTGGAGCCCTGGCCCCAGGGCTGCCATCGCCCCAGCCAGAGGCAGGATGTGCCGTGGGCACGCGGGGTCCCCAGGAGATGTCGCCTCGTGGGGGTGACGGTCCTGTCCAGCTGTGACCTGCCACCAGCAGCGCAGGGAGGTGATGCCAGGTGGGAATAAACATTTCACTTTTGGTTTTTCTTTATTCTTCTCTTAGTGCTTCTTCCCGGGGTGGGATGAGCTCTGGACCTAGCACATGGCTCCGGTATCCCTCGGGATGCTCATCTTTGTGGGATCACTGTTTAATTGCCTCATTTTCCTCTTTCCCACTCCTCCTTTTGCTGTCTCCCCTGCCTGATGTATAGAGTCTCAGACTGGTTTGGGTTCAAGGGACCTTAAAGCTTCTCCAGCTCCAACCCCTGCCCTGGGCAGGGACACCTTCCACTAGAGTAGGTTGCTCCAAGCCCCTGTGTCCAACCTGGCCTTGAACACTGCCAGGGATGGGGCAGCCACAGCTTCTCTGGGCACCCTGTGCCAGCACCTCAGCACCCTCATAGTAAATCACCCAGGCTGGAGTGCTGGGGAGGCTGGGATGCAGCCAAAACCTGGGAGGAGCTGGGTTAGGGCTTCCCATGGCTTGGGGCCACAAGGCTGGGTGCTATGGAGGGACATGGTCTCTGTGGAAGGGAAAGAAGGGAGACCCTGATCCGTCATCTCCATCCTTGAGGATGCTGGGGAAGGGGCCTGGGGGGAGCTGAGAACCCCGGCAGGGTTGGACCTCCTCACCCCAGGTCTGCCACAGCCACCCTTGGGAGGAGGAGCTGCCCCTGCCTCAGTTTCCCCTGCTCCAACTTTGGGGTTTCTTCTGCATCTCATCTTGACTCATCCCTTTTGGGGTGTTTTCTGCCCCCCTCTGCCTAGGAAAGTTGCGGCTTCCTTGTCCAGGGCTGATCCCTGCTCTCCCTGAACCCCAAAACTTGTGGGACTTTTCCTGTGGGAGACACCGTTTAACTGCTGGCTTCTTGGATGGGTGCTGCAGGACTTGAGTTTGGGTGAAATCCCCTTCCTTTCCTAAGAGGGTGCTAATCGAGTGACCTTAATGAGGAGCTGCTTCACCCCATGGCCATGCCGGGCTGGGAGCTGCATGGAGATGGGGATGTCCCCCTCCACAACCACCCTGGTACCCCCAGCCCTGGAGGGGTGAGGATGGGGTGTGGAGGAGCTCCTTCCCCAGCTGCCTGGACCCACAGGTGCCCCAGTCCCAAACAAGTCCCCCATAGTTTCCTCTGGTTCTCCTCATCCCCCACAGCTTCCCCCCACTCCCTTTAGCTCCCCAGGGCTTGCTATGGGTCCCTGTAGCTCCCCAGAACTCTTCTGGCTTCCCATGGCTCTCCCCTTTCCACTGGTTTCCTGTAATTTC